ATTATCCTACTAATAATATATAATTCTTCAATGTAGTAACATGTTTTTTCTTTTAAGGGGTAAGGAGACTTAATTTGAAAGCAGTAAGAGTTACACAGCAAAAGCATTTGTCGCCTCGCAACAAAATTTTGTATTAGGGCGTAAAAAATTTGGTACATCGCCAACAGGTGAGAAATCTATATGTAATTGTGTTATCCATACACATACTTAAATATGTATCTGCATTAGTAATTGTACTAAATTAATGAATTTGTTTTGCTACTTTGAATTAAGTATTTGTTTAATTTCTGAATTTTTGATTCATAGCATGATTTTACTTCTTGAGCAAATGTTTCTGGTTTCTATAACAAACACCTTTCACAATATAATGGTAATTGGCGTTTCGCCTATTTATTTGCTGCAATAAAAATGTGTAAATGCTTATAGAGTTTTTATTAACATATTCAAGCACCTGTGGCTACGCCGAAATACTTCAATTGAGATTAGGAGTATGTTTATGTTCAATTTGATATATTGCAAATATATCGAACTGAATATTAAGCATCTTTTAATCTCAATTGTAGTATTGGCTCGTCGGCAATAACAAATCCTGAATACACAGTAGTAAGGTGGCAAACCCAGCAATGACCACAGAACATCCGAGGGGGGGTATTTTTAGTATTTTTAAGGGGAGGGGGGAGTCGGAAGCAGCTAATAGATGGCGACAGTGTCAGTAAAAACCTTGTTATCATTTTGTGCAAGGGAGTGGGCAATCTATAGTTGTCTTCATCTATGGACTGACATTCAGATCGCGTCGTTTTTAGTATTCAACACGGGGAAAGTACGGCGTCATAAATAATTGTGAAATCAATTCAACGATCTTCGAACTACTGCTGCGAAATTGGTAACTACTTGTTCTACGACTAGAAATTCTTCGTTTACCTATTAATGTACAAGCGTTTGCTGCGAATATCGATAACTTAACGAGTCTCCTGCAAAACTGACGCCCCACTATCCGACATTTTGTTTTCTCCTTGCGTTGCAAGCAAGCACAAAACAATCGGCAACCGCTGCGCTCCCGTCGTACGATTTGCAGGCCTAGTGCTCCGATCAATCAAAATACTCCAGTTAGGCCATGCCATTTAGCAAAAGCATCAATCTAGTGCTCCCTAAACCCCACAAAAAATGACTGCTCAAAACCTGCTTTATTCTTCACACAACATTCATTCTCGTTCCAATATTCGCCAAACCGTACCTAATTTACAGCATGTTACCAACGACAAATATCCGATTTTCACAGAACGACGTTCAGCAAAATGGGAGACAGAGACAGAAGTTCAGACCGAGGTGCACGTGTTTACGTCGGAGGCCTCGAAGACGGGGTCAAAAAAGAAGACCTTGAGGAAGAGTTTCAAAAGTTCGGCAAATTGAACAATGTTTGGATTGCGTTGAACCCCCCTGGGTTCGCTTTCATTGAGTTTGGCAATCTTTCAGACGCGGAAGCGGCTTGCGATAGCTTGAACGGTATCGATTTTCTCGGTTCGAAATTGAGGGTTGAAATCGCTAAAGGCCGCTCGAGAGGCGGCGGTCGCGGAGGAGGCGGTGGAGGTTTTAGAGGCGGGAGAGGACGTGGTGGAGGAGGAGGAGGTCGAGATGGCGGTGGTTTTCGCGACGGGGGCAGCTTTAGAGGAGGCCCAGGCGGTGGCCGATTCGACCGAGGAAGACGAGGAGGTGGAGGCGGTGGCTTCCAGGGCGGCAGACGCGATGAAGGCAATCGGTTTGGCGGCCGGGACTTCGACAGAAGAAGCGACTCCTTTGGAAGTGGAGGAAGCGGTGGTGGTGGACGTGGCGGGCCACCCAGAAGGTTCGGCAGTAGTGGCGGTGGAGGTGGCGGCAGCTACCGCTCCCGATCCCCGATGGGAGGCCCCAGGCGTTAAGAAGCAGCAGTTATAGATGTTTATTTTCAAGTTTTCCTGTTGCTTTTGGCTCGGAAGCCTGGTTTTTATAACTATTGTGAGATATTTCGCGGACAATTTGTATTTTAATAAGGAGTCACCCTCCTTGTACAGGATGTTCATGTGAGAGAGACACGAGCTCTCTCCTAGGTTTAAGTTATTAATATGTTAACAGCACGTTTGCCAGGAATGCCAAAGCTTAGTGTGTGAAAATTTCGTAAATGCATTGACATTGTTTAATCGGTTTTAGTCGGTTTGTTCTCGACTGGAATTGCTGGTGTTAAACACTGCAATTAATGAGGAAAAAGCTAAGATCTCTTAGGCCCTTTAGGTTGTGGATGTCTTTATTATCTTCATATCGTGATGTGTTTGTAGTAGTATCCCGCATTCACGTTTTTGACGATGTTAATATTTTTAATCTAAGGCAGAAATGGTTGTTCGTAGCTTAGTCCTATACCGACAAACTATTTTACAATTTGTAAGTGAAAACAATCTTCCGGCTCGCTCTAAAGCAGCAAAATTGTAATTTTTATGTTTAAATAAAGTCAGGATACCGTAATTGGATTGGTTTTTCTTTGGGTCTTGGATCGTAGGAAGTCGGTAGCAGTGCGCTTCTTTGCAATATGTGTAGGTACTAGTGCTTTTTAGGCACCCAATAGTCAAAAAAGCTAACCAAGGTCGGAAATAAATTTATGCATTATATAAGGTAGGACATCTGAGTTATTAGATTCTTGAATTTTTTTTGTATGGATGAAATAGCTAACGACAAATTGAAATTTACATTCACCATTTTGTGTCAAGACTTCTCCTTCGCCATTTAATTCACGTGTAAATACATACATTTATTTTCAATCTTTGTTGAATTTTATTTGTAACTTGCTTATCCTGCCTCACTCAACAGCCAATGCAGAACGGATTTTTTCACAGGACAACTTAATGACAACTAAGTTGAGGAATAAGTTAAAAGATATTCTACGTCCTACTTAGTCCATCTTTACTTCACACCAAGAGATAGATTGGTTGCTACAATTGTTATAGTTTTGAAACTGAAGATAAGCTTGTGTTATCTATCAATGATATAATCTTAAAAAAGGATAATTTGGACGACTGAGGATATATTTTTATTTAAAAGAAAAATAAGTGTAGTTTGGGAAATTAGTATTAATAATTTTATTAGCAATATGTATGTTGAATATTTTATTTATTTTTTAAGTGTTTATTATTTGATTTTTGCTAACAATGTGTAATGTTCAGAGAAATATTATTAATATACCTATTAACTCTTATGTTTATATTAGTATTGCTGTAAGTTCATAAAAATTCAAGTTTTGAAAAAGCGCCAAAAAAAACAATTTTATGGAGCCCTTGGAAGACAAATGAGTCTACGGATTTATTACGATAACTACCGAAAAGTGTCGAGCTAATCTACCGAAACTCGATTTTCAGACCTGACAACGCTATAGACAAAGACATGTCCACAGATTATCAAACTATTGACCGAACTTGTCTTCATCCGTGATTTTATGGCCCTAACCTAAGATATATTGTTTACTGCTCGAGCGGTGACAAGCACAGAACATACCCCCAGAACATAGGGGGGATATTTTGTGGATACAAGTTGTACAAGTAATATATCTGGTCAGAGATTATTGATGAGGCAATGTATAACATATTCAGTACCAAGTCCAGCGTCGACAGGCCGCCGCTCGAAGGAGAGCATCCTCCTAAGAAGCTAAAAACGGAAGGAGATGTTCTCATCAAGAAACTAGTGGAAAATCAGTTGAAAACCCAGAGCACACTGATTGAGTACGACAGTCCGCAAGTCCTCACCTTGTTCGAGGTAATAACAGCTCTACGTTTTCAGACAACTAGCTCAAAAGAAAGAGTTTGTGGCCAGCGACCCCGTGACCAGCGCCACTGGACACATCAAAGGAGAGACCAGGCTACAAGACTTCCAGTCCACTCTCAATAACTTGGATGAAAGGACTAAACTCAACAGCAAGGGCTTAACTGATAGGGACATCGAAATGCACAGGGAGTTTCACAAAATGGGTGCTGAGTTCTGGACCAAATACAAGAACATCAACAGAGACACGCTGGAAAAACGACTGAGCGCCATTCAGCATCTCTTGCAACAGTCCGACAACTGCCAGGCATCTGAAGGAACTATCTCTAGACACCAATGTGACTACATCAGTGCAGTGAAGCCTCAGAGCCTGGAAACAAAGCTGCTGAAGTTTGTCACTGTTAATAATCCGCAAAAGCACTTGTCCGGTCCCATGGACGAATTGCCTGCCCTGGAGAAACAGTTCATGAAAGACATTGAAGATCTCTCACAGTGCAACGTGAAAAAAATCAGGAAAACTGCACGCTCATTGGCAAGGCGGATAGAAAGCTTGGATTGTCGCGTTGCCCCCGCTAACTACACAGAACCTGCAAATCTAAAACGAGATACTTTATGGGATGTAAAAGAGCTTATCAGTGCGCCAACCAAGCAAGTGCAGACAGTGGACAAGACAAGGAAGTATGGCTGCAAACCTCAAGACTTGTACACAGTTAAAGACGGCACCATCATCAAGCTGACCGCTGATAGGACTGTGATTGAAACTGGACAAAAACTGTCGCTAAATGAATTAAAAAACATTGCAAAGTTCTCCAATTACGAAGCTGGACAGCCGTCCAACGTGCTGTTCCTCAAAAACATCAGCAAATGCGTTACTGAAACATTTCTGAGAGATTTTTTAGGCAAACTGCAATTGGAGGCAACGAGCATCAGAGTTATGACTGGCAAAATGAAGGGACAAGCTTTCCTAGAGTTTTCAGGTAGGAATTGCGTACGAAACAGGCAGCTGCCTGGATGAAATGCAACTTGTGTGTTTTAGATACGGCGCAGACAACCAAGTCACTGAAGGCTTTAAATGGAGTTCTAGTGAATGATCGGCCAATTGTAGCACAATTCGGTAAACAAAATCCAAACTCTATCAGCAATAAATCCTTCAAAAGTTACAAATGTCGTGTGCTTTTACCAACAAAAGTCCACAAGAGAAACTATCGATATAACCAATATTTCGTTTTATTAAATACTGCCTTAATAACAAATTAATCACTATACACAACATCAGAAAGCAATGACGAACTGAAAATGTCTGGCAACTAATGAATTAAGTGAATATCCTAGGACATAATTAATAACTGTTAAGGGAAAATCAAGTGTAAAATTAGAGCCTATTAACAAACGTTTGGTACTTTTTCAGGTTTCTCGCAAATAGGCACAATTTTTTACGGTTTTCATATTAAAATCGCAACTAGACATGTGATACAAGGCTGGCTTTTTGTCAGACGATGAATACAGTTTTCACATGGGACAAAAGCAAACTCTTGGGTAATAAAGCACTTATATGGCTTAGTATAGGAATAAAAAGGTCTATGTACAAACCACTACTACTTCCATAGCAATAGTGTCTGGCTATGCTTTTCCCGTGTTAAGTACTCAGAAATCTGCGAAATTTTCGACGGCTAATTAATGTCGGCCGCACGGGGAAGTAGGTAAACTAACAAATTCGAGCCATCACTGCATATTACCCACGCTAGCCATGCTTCCGCTGATATGCGTCGAACTGCCCAGGGTGGAGGACAAATCCTGGAACGTAAATTGCGGGAAATACTGCGGCTCCTCCTGAATGGACCCCAAAGGCCCCGTGTTGTCCGGCGGCGTCAATTCAACACTTTCGCCGGTAAATTCCTGATCAAAATAACGAGTATCCGTGTCTGATGTGACATGGGGTTTAAACGGCGGAGGAATCTAAGAAGCAAAATAGTTAACAGGCTTTTCTCGTCTAATTCCATGAAAGCTTACCTTTTTCAGCACCAGATCTGTCCAGTTGATGCTTCCAAAGAAGGGATGTGCCATTATTTGTTTGGCATCGTCCGGGCCACCCCCAAGACTGTTAGTTACATTGAAATAGATGATCGCATCAACGTCATATAACATTTTCCAACCAGCGCATATTCACCGCAAACTACTAGCTATCAATCGCTTACCGTTTAATAGGGTCTTTGATGAGCAGGCCCGAGAGCAAATCCTTAGCCTCGGCACTGAGAGCTCTGGGAAACTTCACATCCGACATCAATATCAGAGTAAACAGCATGTCGTGATCCCTGTTGTAGAACGGCAATCGCCCGCACATCTAAATGAAGCACACTCACCGTGTAAATACGCATATGACACATGTTCTCTACTTACCATTTCGTACATGACCACTCCAATTCCCCACCAGTCAACAGCTCGGCCATAGTCGTTGTCTTCTAGGACCTCTGGCGCCAAATATTCGGGGGTACCTAAATAATTCAACAATTTACGGTGATCACTTCTAAGGGATCAGTTGCGTGCAATTCGTACCGCAAAACGTTTTTGTCGTGCGCCCATATGTGATATCTTCTTTGCATAAACCGAAATCGGTGATTTTAATGTGCCCGTCCTTGTCCAATAGGAGATTTTCCAGTTTTAGATCTCTGAAAGAATCAAACACATTCTCGTGAAAAAGTCATTGTGAAAGTTAATTCCGAAGTCTTACCGGTAAATAATGCCTTGCGAATGCAGATACCCTAAAGCTGAAATAATCTCGGCTCCATAAAATCGGGTTCTCTCTTCCGAGAAAACCTTTTCCCTGGACAGGTGGAAAAACAGTTCTCCGCCATTTACATACTCCATGACAAAACAGAGCCGGTCGTTGGTTTGGAATGAATATTTTAAAGACTGAAACAAGACGTGAGATGTTTTGACTCGATGCTTTTGCAGTCAAGACCAGTGGCTTACTGTTAAAAACGGATGGTTTGTCGTTCTGAGCACGCGGTTTTCCGTTTGAGTGTGGGCGACTTCGTCCTTCTGAATGATCACTTCCTTCTTCAGGATCTTGATCGCGTACAGTTTACTGGTCGCCTTTTCCCTGCACAGAATCACTTTTCCAAACGTGCCTTTGCCCAGCACTTTCAGAAACTCAAAGCATTCCAGAGTGACTTTCCTTCGTCCAGTGGATTTGGATATTGATGTGCCTGAAATAAAAAAAAATTATGAATTACCAACATAAAAAAGCAACACTGTTAGCAGACCCTGCAGGGAACATTTCTCCCACAAATCGACCATCATGTCCGGATTGGCAGCATTCATTTCGACGTCCTCACACTCGGTAGACAGTCTTTCGGCCACAGTTTTTATAGCCACAACCCATTTCTCCCTAAAGAAAACGTAACCGATTAGTCATCGATTGAAAGGCAAAACCACGCACTAAGCGACCTTTCTTCTGCAGTTTCCACATGGAACATCCTCTCGATTACGGTGGTCCATTGCAATCCTCTGATAATGAAAGTGTAGGGCTTGGGCCTATCCGTGGACATAATTTGGCATTCTTTTACTGTAAAATTATTGATGGAACCGCTGAAGTAAACATCCGGCTTGGCTTTGTATCCGTTTAGGTCCCCATTATCAAACAACACAAAATACCTACATCAACATATTGCTGCTCAAATTGTCGAAAAACAGGCGCATCCAATTACTTACCTGGGCCTCCAATTCTTAATATGCTCGCCTCTTTTAAACAGCCAACCTTCTTTAACGACTCGGCTTTTGGCTGCGACCCCTGAAGGACCCAAATCGGAGGTGGAATCGTTCATTTCTCCTTAGCTGCAATCGAAAATACATTGCTAGTTCCAATTGAAACGCCCACAAAAATGCCACTTAATCAATAACCGTAAACTATTGAGTCGAGTCTTAGAAAGCGCACTTATAGTAGACGATTTGTATGGCACTAAAAATCGCTGATTGAGCAGAGGTTTGTGGTCTCGCAAGATAGGATAACGATTCAAATTCACCTACCTGAGAACGCTTGAAGGTACAACGTTTGCATAAATACCATCGTTCTTTGCATGCTAGGTGTAATTTTGAGAAAGTTTCCCGTTTTGAGTAAGTTAACAGTTAACAATGTTGGGTTATGTTTGGGCAACTTTGCTTTCTGTTCCCGTTGAGTGTAACAAGAAAATGTACAGCTACAGAGCCCTGGGTTGATTACTTACATGTCTTCTGGGCCTAGGGCATAATTTTGACCAGGTCTGAGCACCAAGCGGGCGAATTTGACCTTCTAAACACAAATGGACACGGCAGTCCAGACACAAACAACCAGAAATAACTCGAATGGCTTCAAGGACGGCACTGTTTTGACTGCAATTCGCTTTCCCAGTTTACAAACACAACGAAACGAACAACTATTAGAAAAACTTTGGAAATCCCGTTTCCTTCTCCAGATTTTTTTTGACGCGTGTCAATAAGGGCTTGTTTTTCTTATGAGTTCAAAGCATGTTCAAAGTCAACAATTGTGGGGTATGTTCTGTGGATTTATGTTATAATGGTTTTTACATTTCATTTAACTGACCAGTAACTGATTTAAAATATTGATAAACATTGGCTTTCCTTGATAAGAAGATGTTGAATTATTTCAGCTTTTAACAATTGCAAAAGCACTATTTGACAATTCACTGTGGTTTAAAGCCTTTTCTGGCAAACCTTAACAGTTGAATATTTAACAAAATCATAATGTATTGGCATCTAATAGTTAATAAATTCTAACGTAGGTCCCTTTAATTGCCAATTGTCGATGTTGCCACATTTGGGATTAAGTATTTATGCAATCCGCCAAAACAACCACCTAACCTTGCTTTAATTTAACTTTCACAACATTTAAAAGTAGGTTTTAGCTTTACTTGATCCTCTATTTGGCCTAGTTTAGCCTGCCATTGAATACATTTGTGTACATTTCACATTGTTCCTGTCGAAATTCGGTTGCCACCCTTTCAAGGCTGAAATATATGTGTGGGTGCGTTGCACCATCTGCTTCAAATCTTGCAAAATTCGCCCTCCAAGTGGTGAGTCTCCCATTGGCCTTCATTGAATTAACGCTTCCTAACGTCGACTTACACCCTACAGTATAAGAGCCGTTGTTAATGTCCGCGAGTAAGGATTTAGCATGTATCCTAAAGAGCCTGCAGCTCATCCTTGAAGCGCAGGTAAACTTGCAAAGGAAAGCTTTAAATCACGTCTGGCGGACCTCAAACGTTCGGCCGCTAATCCAGCAATGTACGAAAGATGGGCTGAAGGCTCCAGACCAAATCAGCCTGGCTGACTGGGCAAACTGCTGCAAAGATGGATCTGAGAGGATTAGTGTGGTTGTGCGGGGTATCAAGGCTTTCACTGACTTGCCTCAGGGGAATGGTAAGAGGTGTTAGAGGCACTAAACTTACTTACCCACCTACTTACTTAACTGGTTTTTGAAGAGTTGCTCATCTTAAAGCTTGGAGTGTGTTGCTTCTAGGGCATACCAGCACAGAAACGTTGTTAGTGCACAAACTAGTTCAGCCCAATATTCCTTCAAATTCACTCCAAGGCAGTGTAGACGTTGCATCCGTTCGCAGTCGACAGCAATCGAAAGCAGCGGTTTATCCAGATATTCCTCCATCTGAGTACCAAATTAAATTATCGCAAAGCGATAAAGAGCTGCTGAGAAAACTGGATATGGAGCACAGAGCCAAGCTTGTCAAGCAGACAGAGAGGGAACAAGATGAGAGCCCAAGGAACACCGTTGGGGAATCGATTAAGGAACAGCAGGCCAAAGTGGCCGCCGTGCCAAACTCAAAGACCAAGCTGAAAGTAAGCAAGTGGTAAGCCAATCAGCACCATAAGTCAAGCTTTGATCATTTACAGCTTAGTGATAATGCGAAGCAGAGGAAAGTTCCATCAAGTAGGATCGGCAGAATGATGTCTTTTGGGTCTCTGGCAGCCGGCTTGGGAGTGGGCACTGCTGCGGAGTACTTGAAGCAAACCTTCAAGATTGGTGACGTTTCTCCTGATGGCTCCAACCTGTTGATGAGCAAAGCAAACCTGGATAGGATTGTGGACACATTGTGTAAAGTCCGAGGTACGTCTGGAATTTCCGACCATAAAGGCAGAAAAGTGCGTCATTAAACTGAGCAATTGTGTAGGTGCCGCCCTTAAATTGGGGCAGATTCTCAGCATACAGGATGAATCGGTGATCAGTCCTGATTTGGCCAAAGCCCTAGAACGAGTGCGAAGCTCTGCGGATTTTATGCCTGATTGGCAAGTGGACCAGGTTTTGGGCTCAGAGCTAGGGGATGGTTGGGAGGAGAAACTAGCTGTGTTTGAGCGCAAGCCCTTTGCGGCTGCATCCATAGGGCAGGTGCACTATGGCAAGCTGAAAAACGGCCAGGAAGTTGCCATCAAAATCCAGTATCCGGGCGTAGCCCGGGGCATCGAAAGCGACATTGATAATTTGGGTAAGAAACGAGTTTGAGCCGCCCTGCCCCAACTGCAACGTAACAACTCTTCAGGAGGGATATTGAAAATGTGGAACATTTTCCCGAAGGGCATGTTTTTGGAGAACCTCATGGCGGTGGCAAAGCGCGAGCTGGCCTGGGAAGTGGATTATCTTCGCGAAGCAGAGTGCACGAAGAAATTCAAGGCTCTGCTGACCGGTTATGATGGCTTTTATGTTCCAGTCGTACTTGGTAAGTCAGAGGAAGAGTTTATGTAATCCCAACTTTGCAGTCGATAACGCCGATATTATTTACAGACGATTTGAGCACCAAACAGATTTTCACCACTGAACTATTGGACGGCGTGCCACTGGACCAATGCTTCGAGATGGAAGTGGAACATCGCCAAGTAATCGGCGAGAAAATCATGGAATTGGTCCTTCTCGAGATCCTTCGCTTCAAGTACATGCAGACGGATCCCAACTGGGCGAATTTCCTATACAATCCTGCCAAGAAACAGGTAAACTCAGCGTAAACGCTTACGAAGAAGTGACGGTCTCAGTCTTCTTGTCCCAGTTGTTGTTATTGGACTTTGGCGCCAGCCGCGAATATTCCAAGGAGTTTATGGACAAGTATGTGCAAGTCTTAAAGGGAGCTTGCGATGGCAGTCGGGATACCGTGCTGAACATGTCCAAAGAAATCGGATTTTTGACGGGATATGAAAGCAAGGTAAGTTAGTATCAAATACAATTCTGACCGCAAGAGTGGATGGTTTACATTGGTCAGGCCAATGTAAATAATTCCTTAATTTGCTTTGAGCGTCTCATGTAGGTTTCTGTATGCAAAGAGCTTTTTCTCGCCTAATTGAAGCGAGTGAAACGACATGTCCACAATTCAAATTTACGCTTGAAAAAACTGACTCATTGAATAAGTGTTTTATTACAAATATCACTGGAAATAACACAAACTCACTTGATGAAGGAAATTCACTTGATGTGTAAATTTCTGAGTACTTGAAATAACTCCAATGGAAACAATTCCAGGAACAGAGGTGATATAAATAGCGACTAATGCAGGTGTAAATGTTTTCTTATCAGATAAACGGCTCAAACCGACAGATCATAAACATGCAAATTTGTGTGACTGAACATTGATCGTGTAAAACCTCATAAATAAATAATACAACACTTTAAGGCAAGCCTTAACAAAATACAGGACAGGTTAATCTTGGGCTAGTATTCGTTTCTTCTGCGGACCGACCTGATGATGTTGGACAAGCACAAGGCCAGCACAGCTCCTATGACTTCCACCGCTGAAATGCTCAGCGCCACTATCGCAATTATCCTTACTGAACTTACGATGTAATTGTACAGGGCCGTGTTGCATCCGGTCGTGAACAGGGTCAGAATATTTGAGGGGTCTGAATAACAACTGTTTGGGATGGCACGTCCGCTTACAGTGTACGAGAGCGCCGTAGAAGAGCCACAGCAGCTCAGCTTCTGCTGGATCAGATCCACAATTTCGCTCACGCCTGGTTCGTTGTACCTAGAGAACAGAGTGACCACTTGTTTATCAATCTGCGATTGCAATTGGTCGTTGTCCTTGATTTGAATGAGCGCAAACACGCCCAACCCCACTTGGACCAGGAAGATGAGGAAGAGAATGCCGGCGTAGGTCGACAGCATGCAGATGCTGTTCTTCACTGTTCCACAGCATCCTAGGAAAGCGATGATGAATATGATGGCGCCGATCACGATGGCCACAGTCGGGATGTACTGGAGCGATTGGTAGTCTGAGGGAATCGCTTCGGTGAACTGCGTGTAGTTGATGGTGTAGAAGATTCCAACGGACAACAGACCCAAGCCGACCATTAGGAAGGCGAAATTCGCCGTGAACATCAGAATACGAGCTATTGCTTCGGCACACATTTTGCTTCTTTTTGGGCCACTTTATTGACGAAAACGACCGTACTAACTGACGGGCCTGCTCAACTTACACCTTATATAAGATAAGCTTGTGTCAACAGTAGATAGTCTTATCGGCGAGTATTAGTGCTGGAATATGGAGTTTCGGCTGGCACAGACTCGGTAGCTTGATGGAAATATAAATAGCCAGAAAATGGGGTTCTCTTGTATTTGACCTGCACTTGTTTGCACACTTGTTTCTTCTGTTTAGGTAATGGAAGACGCACATGTCGATGCCGTGATGATTTTGGGCGAGATTTTCCGCTCCGAAGGAAAATACGACTTTGCGCATCAGGACATGACTCTGCGGATCCAAAACCTCGCTCAGACCATGCTGGTACATCGGCTGTGTCCCCCGCCTGAAGAAGTCTACTCGTTGCATCGCAAGCTCTCCGGCGTCTTCCTTCTTCTGTCCAAACTTCGCGTGCAGATCGAATGCCGCCAGCAGTTCCTCGCCCTGTACGAGGAATACATGCGCCTGAATCCACCCCAACACTAATTGCGTCGATGTTTTTAACCCTTTACTGCATGATTTTTTAAAATTAACTCAAAAAAATGCGGCATTTGGAAAAATGTTTATTGATTTATAAAAAAATATTT